CCTTTCTTTCGTTGGGCACTGTGAACTGGAGAGGCCTGGGCAGGAAGTGGACCTGCTTCATTTTAAGGTTAAATCAGAATCTTGCTCTGTCACGTCAGTGGTTTTAATTAATTTCATTTTGATGAGAATTAACATATATACTTTATATTTATGTGACTTCGGTAATAGTCACTAAAGCAGGCTCTTCAGAACCTCTCTCTCTCTCTATCTAAGTTATATTACTGAAGTGACCAGTTACCAGAAAGGAGCGATACCAGTTCGCAACTCTGCTTAAGCACTAGAGCCTATTTGACTAACAGTGTGAACACGTAAGCTCATTTAAGGAATAAAAGTGTGCTTGATAATAATTCCCCAGTAGAATTCCAATTAGTTGAAGTTGGCATTTGAAGATAAAACTAACAACTGAAACACATGTGTTGCTGCTGTTGCTTTCCATTGCATCTTCAGCACTTGTCTTTTAGCTCGCTTCAGCACGATAACATGTAACATGATTACTAAAATTGTGTTCCGTAAAAATGGCGTGGGTGCGTTTAAATACATGAACGTATGAACTTAAATGAACTCACCTTCAAGTGCCGGGGTTAAGAATGCATGGAGCTGTTCCTTTATTTCCTCACACGTCTTCAGCTTGATTTTATGCAAGGAGAAGCTCTAAAACTTTGGGCAGTAGATCAGAAACATCTGGAAAGTTTCGAAATGTGGTGTTGGAGAAGGATGGAGAAGATCAATTGGACTGATTATGTGAGAAATGAAGTAGTGTTAATTAGAGTCAGTGATCAGAGGAATATCCTACACGAAATAAGAAAACGGAAGGCTAATTGGATTGGTCATGTTTTACGCAGAAACTGCCTTCTAAAACAAGCTATCGAAGGAAAGATAGAGGGGCGGATAGAAGTGACAAGAAGACGAGGAAGAAGACGTAAGAAGATGCTGGATGACCTTGGGGACAGAAGAGGATACTGTCATTAGAAGGAGAAAGCTCTAGATCGCATTAAGTGGAGGAATTGTTTTGGAAGAGACTGTGGACCTGTCGTCTGACAGATTACTGATGATGATGAAGCTCTAAATTGCAACTTCACTCTGCCTCACACTGCTATAGAAGTCCCTCACGGTACAGTACCCGAGTTGTGAAATGAATATGCAGTGCAAACAATTTTCATAAATTGTCATATAATTATTTTCGAATCAGATGTAGGCATGTATCTGCAACCATCTTGGATTTGTACTTTTGGAAATGTAATTCCTTCGGTTTCCTCAGTCTAGATTATTTCCTCAACTCCGCGTACAAATCGTGTTTTTAAGTCCGGTCATTACTGAATTCATTAATTTGTCTGAATTTCTTAAATTTTTCTAATCATTCCATTATAACCTAAAATTATTCATATCAGCTGTGCTTGATAGCAGAACTAATAAGAAATATAATATTTATTCATGAAAATAACTAAGATAACTTTAAGATTTACCTTTGTCTTTATTCGTAACATTGAGAAACTTAGTGTTTACCCTATGGGAAGAATATAGATTCAGGATATTTCTAAGTTCATACCCTTATCACTGTATATGTGTTTGTCTGCTTCGCAGCTAACAATTTTGTAATTATCTGATCGATTTTTACGAAATTTATTTTGAATGTTATTCCAGTTGAGATTACCTGAAAATGTACCTTTCAATTTCGACAATGAAAATATGGCGTGTTTCACTATGCACGTTGATGTCAAATTCAGCTCTTTGAATAATTGTGACTTGAAAGTAGTAGGTTCATTTTGTGGGTTTATTTAAAACATAAGAGAATAATTTGTACACTGTTTAGAATATTCTAAAATTTAAGTCAGCTATTCTTCCCAATTTTTGTTTTTTATTCTCCATATTTTTCTCATCTCTGGTTCTATTGCTTATGTCCAATACTACTTTCAGGTGATTATGTTTATCGCTTGATATATTGAGTTGACTTGTCCGAATGCACCCGTCCTTTCCTTTACCACACTAGTGAAGCAGACAGAGGCGAAACAAAATTTGTTGACAGTTTTTCTGCGCACGGTTGTTTTCAACTGTTCCTACGCCCCTGATTCCGAACACATCAGACCCTGACCTAGTGCCAGATGTTCTGTATTAAAAATAGCCGCACATATCCACTTTTTATCAAGTTCTTCTTCGCTAAAAGAATATGTACGAATTGTGACATGGCTACAGAATATAAATCAACAGGACTACATGACAAAGAATCCCTTCTTTAACTCAATTCATCAATACCATTCTTCATTCCCATGTAACCAAGAAAAATTAACTGAATCAGAAATTTCATTCCATTGTAGAAAATGTGAAGTTGTGCCTGTACTTAAACACCAAGCCATGAAGTATGCGGGGACTGAACCTATTCTTCATCTCGATCCAAGATGGTGGTGAGCAACTTCACAACCTGGCCATTTCACCCTCGGGGAAAAAGCCCCCGTTTTCCTTTGGGTTGGAGGTTGATTGAGTTACAGAGCAAGTCTGGACTCTGGGAAAATCTGAAAATCCGAGTTAAAGTCCAGTTTCCTGCCCGTAGCCAGTCACTTTCCTGCTGCTCCATATTTCCATAGTGACTTCATGCTTGTTTGCTTGCCGCTTGGTGGCGCCCTGGTATAGTAATCTGAATAGCAATGAACAGCTTTTGTGGCAAAGGGAGAGTCAATACGAACCTCGGCCGGATTATCCGTTATGCGATTTAAGATTTTCATGTTTCTACCCCGGCTCTTGACAAGAATTGAGACACGGTATCTTGATATAAATCACAAATATTTTCCTTAAAATTCTTCTTGCTTATGATTATATTCCCATTTCATTCAATGTTGTGTATCCTGTTTAGTTTACATAATGCTGTCAAATTACCCAAGATTCAGTCAAGTATCTGGGAAGATACATTAATAACGACCCTGTAGCATCGTTTATAAAATTCGCCTCCAGAAATGGGTAAAAAATTTTTACAATTTATTACAAAATATTTTAGCCTACTCACACATTTTTAAGGTAAGTAGAAGTCGTGTATTTTTGTGTCGGGTATTGGCCGCGCCGTAGCTCAAGCGGTTAGTCGCTGGCTTCCACCGCGGTGGCCCGGGTTCGATCCCGGGTCTGATCAAGTGGGATTTGTGGTGGGCAAAGTGGGGCTGGGACGGGTTTTCTCCGAGTACTTCGGTTTCACCTGCCAATTTTCATTCCACCAAATTCTCCATCATCATAATCACCCGGGGCAGGTACAATAAGTCAATCAGTGGCCGCCGTGCCGAGTGGACCCAGTTGGACTTCACTCCCCACTAAGCTTATTAAAAAAATTAATTAATTGTGTGGGGTATTCTATTTTTTACAATTGGATAATTAATATGAAACACGATATTAACACTGAACTGTTAGTACCAAGCCTCCTTCATCCTTCTAACTATGCTCTAAAAATATGAACATGTGGAACACGTCAACTTCTCACATTAACACCATTTTTAAACGTCGGATCAAGTTAAATGTAAAATTAAGATAATTTTGTTATTAATGACAGATAATAGCAAGGAAACCGCTAGAAATAGGCATGAACTTCGCAATTGAATGGCCAGAAACTGTGGAATTATTATAACCAAATATGAGCATATTAATAAGATCTAAAAGTTTGTGATGATGGTAAATTGTTACAATTAATATGTTGCTGGACATTATCCATCATCTTGTCTGTCCAGCAACATATTAATTGTAACAATTTACCATCATCACAAACTTTTAGATCTTATTTGCATAACCAGTATGGACGTGGTATATATCCCAATGTTGTGCTTGTTTTATGAACCCCTTCTGAAACTGGTCCGGAGATAGGGGCTAGCTCTGTCTATTGGACCCAACTAAGTAGGTTTTACCTGAAGACGGGGACAGATTCCAGTTCCCGAAACGTTGTGTTTTTAATAGAAACTAGACGGTTTTTTTAAGAAGAGACAAGATGATGGATAATGTCCAGCAACATATTAATTGTAATGAGCATATTAAATTTTATGTCATTTTCTGCGTCTTTTTATGATCCTCATTTATAAGTTAAAAATTACAAACGTGGCGACCGTATGCTTTTATTTAGACATTTGTCGTGATCCGGGATAGCGCAGTCGGTATAGCGACTAGCTACTGGCTGGGAGACGGAGGGGTCGGAGTTCGAGTCCCGGTGGGTTCAAGAATTTTCGCTTCTCCATGTCGTTCAGACCCACTCTGCAGTCCATCCAACCTCATATCCAAAGGGTACCAGGGGCTCTCTCCACGGAGGAAAATCGGCCGGGGCGTGAAGCGGACCACTCATCTCCAACTAATGCTGAAGTCAAGAAAATTCTATACATCCGGTCCCCTACACGCCATCATGGCGTACTGCTTAATTAAGTTGAAGGACAAAAAATATACATTTATCACACCCCATTCTGTGGCGTCTGTGAAGTCCAGCAGCCTCCATATCGGATATCAATATTCTAAGAAATATTACCTTTCAAGTGTTTGGATGTAACTTGGTAGTTTAGGTCTACCTGTCTTGCGTACCGAATATGATTTGATCAACATTAACCTCAGGTTTCGCTTACCAGACCAGACGTTATTTATGATTCTCAATATTTGTAAATTTTAGCCGTTTCTTACAAATTAGAATAGAACGCTGTATGTGGATGTCATGTCTGTTTCTCTGTTTGTATGTAATCTAATATCAGCTTAAACTGCTGGGCAGATATTCATCCAGAACCTCAACATTAACATGCTCGTATTTAACACACTGTTGTGAGTTAGGCCGTTTAGATGCAGAAAGAAAAGGGGATATAGTTCTTAGTGCTGATTCTGTGTAAATTATCCTGCTGTCTTAACTGTACAAGTACTTTACCTTTATGCAATACGCGCACATTACCCTTGTTATTTAATGGTCATTCTATTCCTGTTACTCCAATAAAATTCAGGAAAAAATGTGTGATGGACCAGTGAAGCTCCCTTCTTCAAATATGTCGATCTGTTTGTTGCAGGATCATGAAGTTCTGTGCAGTCTTCATTCTGGCACCTACGTCCATCTTTGTTCTTCTTCAGAGGTCAGTGTGGGCGAAGCTTCACTGTAGAATAGAGAGAGAGAGGCTCTTCCTTCAAAGCAGTCTATATTAAGTTAGCATCTCGGCTTGATATACGTACTTGCACTTGCTCTTACAAAACCAGATGCGGCAATCTCTTTAATAGCATCTAAATAGGCTACCCTTCGTCTGGTAAGGCCTCTCAGATGTATGAGGAATTGTAGTCAATACTGAAATAGAACAGGCCAGTCTAAATAAAAAATCAACGGGAATAAAACTCCAGAAATAGAAATAAACAAACAAAACAAAAATATTTAAATAGAAAATCAAAACTTTCAGGAAGTAATAATAAAAACAATAACTTAATGGGGCTGAGCTCTTCTTGAGAAGCCGACGATTCTGCAGCTACTCAAGAATTTCCCAGTAATTTTATGGAATCCCAACGTTCATAACCGTATTCACAAGAGCCCTCCACTGGTCCCTATCCTGAGCCAGATCGGTCTAGTCCACCACTCCACGAAGACGAAGTGAAGGTATAGTTGGACGCATTTTAACCTGACACTAGATGGAGATGAATAATCAGCTTCAAGCCTCGGTTCCTTTACCCCCAGATAAATAACACAGAATGCTGAGTGGGCCCTAGAGCTAGTCCAGGCGTTGCGGAGAAATGACGGTGTCTCCCTCTGCAGAGAATCCAGTCCCGATTCTCTGATCCTCCAGCGCATAGTTTTGCCAATACATTGCCTGACTTACCTCTGCTTTAGTCATAATAATAACAGTACTATAATTTAATTTGTGATTGCTTGCACTAAACTCATGAGTGACTGGACATGTCCACGGTCTTCATACTACCTCTCCTGCTTCGAATTTAATCTATCGGGCTCACATCGCTCATAAGAAATGATATTAGTACTATTTCACATTTGTTATATTATAAAGGGAAACTCTCATTTTCTTTCTTGGTCCATTTTCCTCTTCATTACGGGTTATGGTGTTGATATGTTGATACTTCCATTCCATTGTATCCATTAGCCCAACGGTTGAGAAATTATATTTGTTTGCGGGCCAGACAGGTCGTTATCAAAGTGGCTGTGGGTTGAGAAATCTCGTGAAATAAATTCTGCATTTAAGAGAATCTTAAATATTTACCGGTTGTTTGCACTGACTTGTCATGGGATGTTCTGTAGATACAGGGCTACATTAAGACATAAGGATAATTCAGATTAATATACTTAGGTTGTTAAAGACACGCATTATATTAAATTTAAGATGGTACCATTTGGCTTTCTTTTATAAACTGTTGCAGATACAGTAAGTCAGAATTGTAATACGTGAAGTTAGAACACAAAAACTTGCGTTTTCGTGAAACATATATTCTTATTTATTTGTATATTTTGTCCCTGTTACAGTAATGAAGTACCGAGTACGAAAATAGTAAATTCGACAAAGAGTCTTATTAATATCATTAACATTTGAACGTTGCAATTTTTTTGTCTCTGGCTGCATTTTACCCGCACCGATATTATACAGTAGGCCTCCTAGGACTGAAGATCTACTCGTTTCAAGGATAAAGCACAAACACTGAGACATACTATTTTTCGCATTGTACGGGGTGGAGTCCAGTTGGGTCCACTCGGCACGTCGGCCACTGATTGGCCTATTGTACCTGCCCCGGGTGATTATGATGATGGAGAATTTGGTGGAATGAAGATTGGCAGGGAAACCGAAGTACTCGGAGAAAACCTACCTCAGCGCCACTTTGTCCAACCACAAATCGCACTTGACCAGACCCGGTTTGAAACCGGACCGTCGCGGTAGGAAGCCAGCGACTAACCTCTTGAGCTATGGTGCGGCCGGGGACATACCGTATTTACGCATGTATAGGCCGCACATTTTTTGCCAAAAATTCAAGAGGAAAACTGGGGTGCGGCTTATATTCGAAATATTCGAAATCACACTTCATTAAAAAAAATTAAACGTTGCCAAATTTCGGAATAATTTCTACTCCTGAAATAATATTCCAAGAAAATTATTTTTTCTATAATTTCTGTGTGAAAATTGTGCTGCGGTCTATACACGCACGCGGCCTATACATGCGTAAATACGGTACTTTCTTTCCTCTTGTGGAATTCGAACCTCTGATTCTATCGCTCGGTTAGTCAGTGACAGTGTTCATCTTAGACTACACTGCCAGTGTGACTGGCAAACTTAAAAATAGGATCTAAATCGAAAAAGAATTACAAGCAGAAGTTTGGTATAGCAACTTGGCCAACATTGACCAATTTATCTTCGTTCTATGTGTCCTTTAGTGCATCATAATTAACGGGAAAAGGTTTGATCAGAGTATCACCCTCAACAGTTAGTTTACTTCAATGGCTACTACTTGTTTCGGTCCTAACGGGACCATCATCAGGTAGTTCTATAAACACGTCAGTATAACAACGCGACGATGATCCCATGAGGACCGAAACAAGTAGTAGCCACTGAAATAAACCAGTGTTTAGATTTACCTTGGTTTATTTAATTTAATATTGTTGTGTCGAAGACCAAGCTTTTTACCATTAATTGCCCAATTTAGGGGAAAATATCAGAGAAGCAGAAAGTGAGTGTAAATATTTAACCTAATGATGGCCATAAAGAATGCAAACATAACTTTTTTGTACGGAGTTTTGTGTCGTAGGTAATAATTTGATGAGAGATCATTTTGGGGTACTAACACCGCTCTTTTCCAACCCGCCTTTGCTTGTATCGTCGCAGTCGGAATGGCGCTATCCCTGCTACACCTGTTTCTACCTTAGGACAGTGTATGATGGCTACTGGAAGTTGTCCTCACAGATGAAGCTAAGGAAGATCGGTATAGGTACGGGAAACTAGCTGGGTCGGTTTGCATGGGTCTCAGGGTAGCGATGCCTAAGAAAGCGTTTTTCTGAGAGTTGAGCCAATTGACGTTTATTCACCTGCTAATTCACCACACTGTTAAATTAATGTATTCTTAGCTTTAAGTTACAGCGTTACACTATCGGCTAGCTATGTCCCGGAGCGTGCAAGGGTCACGTCCGTTCAGTTCGGAATATTCTGAAAGTCTCCTTTTGTGGAATGGCTTGCACCCCCACGCCGGGAATTCGAAAGATGGTGTTGACATATAAATTTTATCCCATCTTCCGTGGGAAGCTTGAACGAGGCAACCCAATCATACTGACCCTCATTCGCAGGCAATTGTAACAAGCTCTGACCTGTCCTTTTAGGCGCGTCCGGTTCCCTGTACCCGAGCTAAATTTATGACTGATCGTAAATGTCATAACTCCGGACTTTTTGTTTCTGCCAGAATCTAGAAAATTTCAACATAAACACCGTATTGCACGTCCCAGACGATGAAATACGATATTATAGATCACGATACATTTCCAGTAATATCGAAACATAAGACTTTTGAAATTAAAATTACCGAGAATTAATTAGAAATAAATTTCATGGTCATCTATAATCATCCAAATAAATAAGGGCTCAGAATGATCAGCGTCAGTACATCATACGAAATTGTTTCTTCTTTTTGAGTAAAGAACATGTCTCCCCTGTTTCAGCTGTGAGGCGCGTAGCCTTATATGTAAACAGTGTGTGGGCAATGAATGTAACGTGGAGCCGGAATCCTGCGAGCACGGCATCGAACGTGATTACTGCGGTTGGAAAGTGTGTGCCAAGGTAGGACCCGGAGCCGGGGGCTCCGAATTGAGCAGCCAAGCCTTTGCTGACTGCTTTATTACACACCACACATATATATGTATAAGTAATCTAATATTACCAGTTTTTATTTTATAAATGTTCATCTTCTTGTTTCGAACGTGACGCAATCTTGATAGAACCGATAGAAGAGGCCTACTTATTCCCCTCCAGATTCTCAGTCTTCACTACTCGTCTCCTACCAACCGTCTCTTCGCTTGCGGATTTCTTATATTTTTCTTTCTACTCTGAAGATGGAGGCGATACGTTCCTCCGAAACGTCGGTTAGCACCACATATACACGGTGCCAAATCCCAGAAGACTGCTTTCTTCATAGTCACCGCCGTGAAAATCTCAAATCTTACAAGGATATGCTTCATCAGCATTGCTTCGCTTTAGAAGACATCTTTAGGAAGGATGTATAAAATCAAGTGGGCGTCAAATTCAAAGGAAAATATCAGCTTCTCGCCCATGCTGATCTTAATTTATTAGACAAATACATAAATATCCTATAGAAAAACAAATAAACTGGTAAGAAAGGTGGTCTAGAGATAAACGCTGAGAAAACGAAATAAATAATATACTCGTATATTCATGTTTCTTCACTACAATAGAGGACAAAATAATAAATGCTTCGAAAATGTTCAAATATTTGGGAATGACAGGAACAATTCATAAATTACATTCGTGAATCAATATACAAGAGCAGATTAAATTCGGAGCACAGAATCTCTTCCAGCCTCTGCCTAAGAACCCAAACAATAGAGTTATGCAGAATGATAGCCTTCAGCTTGAAGAGTAGTTCGAAGCGGGCAAATCTCACACAGCCTCCTTTGCTTATTGTTTTACATGGACATGAAGCTTCGTGCCTCACTCTGAGGAAGAACGCACGAGATAGAAGCAGTCTGAGATGAAGGCACTGAGGACAATATTTGGATCTGAAAAACAAGAATAATCACGAGGATAGAAAGATCAAATAATCAGCTTCACGGTTTTTATTCTTTATCCAACATTATTAGGAATGGAAACAATATGGGCTAGACATGTAGCACGCATGAGACAGACGACAAATATGTAAGTATTTTTGCTTGGCAAGTCTAAAAGGGAAGGATCAACGAGACGAGGGAATACATGGGAGAACTATATTAATTTGGTCTTAAATAAATATGATGTGAAAGTGTGGACTAGATATAAGTAGCACGGGATAGGTTCAAATAGCGAGTCTTGTAAACAACAGGTCGCCGTCTTCTGGGTTCTGACCCCGTAGAGTCCTGTAGGCAGATATCAAGAGTTCTGACGAATACGCCGCCTCTATCTTCAGTGTTGAAGTAGACACATTATGCTTTAAACAGTTAAGAAGAATTTAAAGTCTTATGTACGTGTATAAATGTAATATAATGGCTGAAATTCAAGACTGTACTCGTAAAATTTATTCAGTTGATTAGCAGCAAACCAGTTCTTGGTTTTGCCTCTGACATCCGGGAGAAACGGTTCTACTTCTGAATCTGATGAAGATGCCACATACCGTCAACAACTGACACGCTTCGTTGTGTAGCGTAATATAAAATTAATGCCAAAAGTATTACCATAATTCATAAAGGAATTACCGTAAATTGTTATAAAATATCAAACTATTTCATTTACTCATATGAACAATGTTACTCTACCCTTCACGCCAAAGGCGTGCTCATAAATTTACTTGGATTTTCCCTATTTATATCTACATTACAGGGTCCAGGAGAATACTGCGGTGGGCCGTCAGATGTGAGGGGAAAATGTGGCGAAGGGATGCATTGTGCCTGCGGAAAATGCAATGGATGCTCTCTCAGTACGCTTGATTGTTACTTTGGTCTTGATCAACTCCAGTGCCTGGTTTGAAGAAATCGCCGCGTATTGGCCAGCCGGCTAACTTATTACAGCCCTTAATCATAAGACATCTGAGTCTGGCTGTTGGTTTTGGAACTGTGATGTTCATTTATTTGTCAGTATTATTATTCTTAAAGATGTGTGCTATTTAGAGCGCGGTCTTCTGGGTTGTAACGTCTTGTAGTTCGGAGACAACTTGACGTTTCGGAGGAATATATCGCCTCTATCTTCAAAGTCGAAGAATAAGCCAAAGAAGGAACTAGCAGAAGCGGGTGGCAAGGCAGGATCTTACCTGGTTTGCACTTCGACCATGAAGATGGAAAAAATATGTTTCTCCGAAACGAAATTTCTCCAAACTACATGATGTTAGAACCCAAAAATCACATCCTTCATAGTGACCACCGTGAGAACCCGAAGTTCAACATATATGCTATTTATGTTATATTTATAATTTTACATGAAGATGGAGCGAAATGGAATGATCACAGTAATAGCGGTTTCCTGATGTCATTTGCACAGGAATTGTGCAACATGAAAGCTGTCTCAGATTAGTCTCATGTGAATGTTTATGGCATTTATTTATTATTCCATTATTATTTTATTAGCAACTTCTCTAGTTCGTAAGGCAAACAGAGCTTAATTAGCAATCTAAAACTTCGAGTAATTTTTAGGACGGTGCACATTGCATTGTTAATTTAAATATTATTAGAATATCTGTATTTTCTATAATTTGAAATCTTTTTTTTAACTTCAGTGAAAACACTGCGTCCATAGTTCACTATTACCAAATAAAGATGTAAACTTCTTGTGGATTGGAGCACTTTTATTCAGAACCTTCATGTCTCTTATGCTCGGCGCAGTGTTACTCCGCATGCGCACCTCGTCCTGAGACTCCACGTACATCCACATGTCCATGACGCCATATAATTCAGGGAAATAAGACGGAAGACATTAAGGCAGACAGTGAATTAATGCACTTTTTCGTTAACTTTGGCTTTTGTCTGTTGGCAGTTGAAAGATTTATGATATACAGTATTTTCAGTACGGAATACTGTATCTTACGGTGGTAAACAAGCATCAAGCTTTCACAGAAACTAACGTTTTTGTAATGTTGGTACAGAATGCCTATGTTTAGAACATTTACTTCACTTTCTTTTGATAAAATGGTGCACCAACTTTCCGAACTAAATCAGGGCTACAAAGCGTCAAACATCTGAGGGGTCGCAATGCATTTTAGGTAAAAACCCACAGGCCTTTTTGAAAAAAATAGATATTTTTAGCATATCCCTCTAAATGTCTGACCTGCTATGTTCATATCTATGAACATAAATTCGGGGAGGACCTAATATAAGTTACCAACTCCAACAGTTCCTCTATTATTCTGTTATTCTGCTGCGGAAACGTGTGTTAATTTTGTAGCAATGGTCTGGTTTTCCCACAAGCCTCTCCTCAGCTGCAGAAACGTGCCTAACGAGCCGTTGCCTAGCAATGAACTGTTCTGGCTTTCAGGCGTCAAGTCACAATATTTATTTAAGTTAAATTCTGTCGGGTTAACGGTGTTTAAAAATGAACCACTAAATTTGTACTAAACTGATCAATATTGCGTACAGTCCCGGAGGCAGAAGCCTGATAATCCCATACTCGTGTGCTATTTACGTGTCGTGCGGAATCAAATGGAAAATTATACAGAATGTTTAGTAAGAAACTTCCTTGAAGTTTTTAGACAAGAGTCGCCGTTCTTTAAAGAAAAGGAGAGTATTAAATGAATATCTTTTAGAGTGGTAGGATATTCTCACATGCTACACAAAAACAAACGGCGGCCTCATGCGGCCCGTGTGTCCCTAGTTGCCCTAAACGAAACAGAGTGTCCGGTGATTCCTAGGTTACTTAACGACGTTTCAGTTATTACAATTACATATGTAAGAGTGATCATGAATAAAGTGTAGGTAAGGTGCAAAGGGCGGAAATATTTTAAGATATTTTTTGTGAATATTGACAGCCAGGGTAGCGTAGTCGATATAGCGACTGGCTGCGGGCTGGACGACCGAGGGGTCGGAGTTCGAGTCCCGGTAGAGTAAAAAATTTTCTCTTCTCCAAATCGTCCAGACCGGCTCTGGGGTCCACTCAACCTCTTATCGAATTGGTACCGGGGGATATTCCCCCGGGGGTAAAGTGGCCGTGGCGTGAAGCTGACTACTCACCTCCAGCTAGTGCCGAGGTCAAGAAAATGTGTATCTATACATCCACTGCCCCATACGGCTTCATGGCGTAGTGCTTCATTAGTTAAGTAGAGGGCAACTTTACCTTTTTAGCAATTTCACCTTTATGAATATTATAGCATTTAATAGCTAGATGGTATCTCATTTTGTACTAATTAAATCTCTCCCTCTTTTTGACATTACATATATGTCTGAATACATATGTATATATATATATATATATATATATAGACAGATCTTCTTTCGGTTCATTCAATAACATGTTGAACGTATCTGAAATGTGTGACGTCCCCTGCAATCGCTTGAAACCCCATAAAGTCCTTTTTACACGAATTATGTCATTTGACTTTTATTACGGCAAACTTTTGGTTAGAAATTTTGACATGGATATTTACCTATCAGTTTCAGGGTAAATAGTGGAGGGGACAGTGAAATACATGGGCCCCATTTATTGGTCGCTGGATAGATATAAGGTAGATTTAACTTCCATGGTTACGAGTGGAAAACGTCCTTTGAAAATTCAGGGTTGGGGTTCTTCATTTGTTACACATAGCAATACCCACGCGCTAAAGAGCGTGCCTACGGCTACTTGCCAAATGGTGATTCAGCCATCGGCCCATAGCCGTAGCATTGCGAATTGGGCATCTTTCACATTGTACCTTGAAATAAAAAAGTTCAGAATAAAATGTCACGTTTTATTCGTACCACACACCAAGCCGTCAAGTGGCGCCTCAATCGGCGTTCCCACGAACTGACTGCAGCTGGCGCGGAGCACATGTTACATTACTTTTTATTTTCTCACATACATACTACCAGAAATTAATGTGATAGTGAAAAAAATTGATCTCGAGATTATGAGAAATTTACACGTTTTCGCGTCCCTAATTAAGAAGTGGTTATTGGAGTTATGTTTTTATATTTGTAAGTATGCATATGCACCTCGAGAGCGCTTGAACGATTGGGTTTATTTTATTCATATTCAATAATCAAGAGTTCATCCGTCATAATTCGCTGACTGGTGAATATGCACGGTCTAGCTCCAATTACAGTGACCCTTCAAGTAGATCCCCAAAAACAAAACGATTTTCTAGTATAATTTTGATTACAAATTTAGTAATGCATGGAGACCATCGACCTAAATAAGACTACATATGTGGCACGTTCAGGAAATAACCGTTTGTGTACTCTGAACCCAAACGTTTATGCAAAGCATACATACCCTAGCTCATATAAGCACCACCCAATTGAGCAATAACCGATTGGACGGATTGAATTATTGTTCGGTATTCAGTAACAAACAATGGTCTAAAAAGCAATAGTCAATTTCGTTTCCTGTGTAAAGCAGGTAAGGTCAATCGTACATGAGAAAGTATGTGAAATGCCTTTGCTTATATTTTTATACACAGGATGAGCACAAATGACCATTACAGTTTCATAAATATATTGTGAAACACGCTGGTAAGACAATTCCTCCGAACTTCTAGACACTAAATTACAACTGGCAAAGTTTTCAATTAAAACCTTCACATGCAGCCAGGGCGCTGCAATCAAGACAAGGGCGACAAGCCTGCAAGAAGGGAAGTTTGTCCTCTGGTTTAATACAACGAAATGCGAGATGAGTGCAATGACGCCATCGGATGGAATATGGAACCGATCCACTTCCTGAGCCATTTATTCATTTTGCAAACGGTCTCGTGAGACAGAGTGTCTGTGTAAAAAGAAAGTTCCCTTTGCCGCAGAATGTATAGATGCAACTGGTGCCAACTTGATGTGCACGGCGCTATCAGTACTGCTCACATCCAACGCCTCTATGTTGTAAAAAAAAAACTGTGACAATTGTAAATTAAAATCTAAATCTTCGGATGTTTATCCTATCTAATTGGGGCACGCGGTAGAGTAGTTGGCTGAGGCACTATGCTACTATGCTTCGATTCCCGATGAAGTCATTGAATTCTTCAGTTTACCTAATCCTTCCAGCCGCACTATAGCCCTGGGGTCGACTCAGCATCTAACAGAAATGAGTACCAAGAATCTTTCTGGATGGTAAAGGACGGCCGGCACTTAAGGCTGACAACTTCACCGTCATCTGTAAGCCGATTTTCTAGAAAATTTTGGAGCCTCGACTGCCTCTTACAGGATAGCTTTACTTTTATGTTTATCTTATCTAATTGCTTCAACATTTTTGGAGTTTGAAAGATAGTTTTTATTATTCTGTATGTAGAGGGATAAGCATGACTACTGTTGTTAAACAGTGCTACAAAAGCGTACTCAGTTTGATAGTTTTCAATAACTCTTAGTATTGAAGCTGCATGTGGAAATATATGGTGGATCTCCGTAAGAGCTATTCGTTTTGAAGAAAGCAGTCTTCTGGGATTTGGCACCGTGTATATGTGGTGTTAACCGACGTTTCAGAGGAACGTATCGCCTCCATCTTCAGGGTAGAAGAAAAAATATAAGAAATCTGCAAAGCGAAGAGACCGTGAGAACCGGTAAAAGCAGTTCTCACGGTCTCTTCGCTTTGGAGATTTCTTATATTTTTTCTTCTACTCTGAAGATGGAGGCGATACATTCCTCCGAAACGTCGGTTAACACCACATAAACACGGTGCCAAATCCCAGAAGACTGCTTTCTTCATAGTCACCGCCGTGAAAGCCTCAAATCTTACACCTATTCGTTTTACTTTCAATATGAAACATTGTAGGATAAAAATAATCTTGAACACAACAAAAACCTTTAGTCTGTGTCTTCCGTTGGCTGTAGCAGTGGCTTTGGAAGAAAGGCTCTTACCTCAAGAGTAGGCCTACACAACTAGCACAGAAACAATCACGGATCCGACTAGCATGGGTGTGTTCTAGTGACTATCTTCACATCCACCGAGTTAATACAGACAGTAAGGTAAAAGTAAAGTTGGCCCTGTGCTTAATTCGTTAAGCACTATGCCATGAAGACAGTGGAAGTATAGCTCCACCTTTCTTGGCCTCGGCATTAGATGGAGATGAGTGGTCACCTTCATGCCCCGGACATTTTACCACCGCGGAAGGAGTCCCTGTTACCCACAGGATAGGAAACTGGGTGGGCCCCAGAGCCGCTGGATGCTGTGGAGAAGAGAAAAATCTTGCAGTTTATTTTTCCCTTTCGAACCGATTCAGACTTTACAATTATCATAGTATCAATCACATGTGTTCTCTCTCCACAACAAATGGAAAGCCAAGATTCTGAAACATAATTGCAGAACATGGATACATGTGGAGAGGTACTATGTGTTTGGAAGAACAGAAGAGCTTAGGGACCATATCTAAGAATATTAGTCCCCAAAACACCGCGCTTAAGTCGGGGCAACAGGAAAATATACTGCTGTTTGTAGAATAATGAGTTATGTCAGTTTACTTATCTTACGTTTAGATGTTCCGTGAACTGTAAGCATAGTTCATGCTTAGGGCAATGACATCATTTGCTTCTTCTCGAATGTTTTGTATTGCTACCAAAAGCCAAACAAAAAATTAAAACAATCTACAATTAAGAACATGTAGAATTTGAGGTTCTCACAGCAGTGTTTATGAAAACTCCTGTCTTATGCGATATAACGTCGTGTAATCCGTTGAAAGTCAACAGAAATGTATATCGGTTCCATCTTCGGGGCCGAAGTATAAGCCAACCAAGAAACCAGCATGCTAACTGCTTCATGCTAGCTTCTTGCTTGGCGTATTCTTTGACCTTGAATATGGTGGCAACATTTTCCTTCGAAACGTAGGCTGAATTTCGGCGGACTACATGCCGGTATATCGCAGAAGATATGTGACGTGAACTGAGAAATTCCGAGGAAGTTGACAGTGGTGAAAAGGCAGGTTCTGGTAATATTGCCTGACATAAGGGAGAATACCGCAAATTATTTCAATGTTGACTTTGCCTGGAATCGAACAAAATAAAAAAGTAAAAATGTCCATAGGGTTGTGAGAAGTCAAGGCTCTCACATCTTCTAGAAAATCGGCTCACAGATGGCGGTGAGGTTGTCAGCCTTACGCGCCTGTCGCGCTTTACCCCTCAGGAAAATTCTTGGTACTCATTTCTGTTAGAGGCTGAGTCGACCCCAGGATCATAGTGCGGCTGGAAGAATTAGGTCAATTGAAAAAAATCCACCTCATCGCGATTCGATCCCGCAACCTTCCGGCTTGTAGCATAGTGCCTCAACCAACTACGTTACCGGGCGCCCCTCGAACTGTGTACCGTTCATGAAATATTACACTTATTTAACTTCAAAATACTGGGAATTCCACTTAACAATTCTTGAGCCGATATATGTCGAATATAGACGTTTCTTTAAACTGAAAAGTCAAGACAGCGTTGAATGATAACAGGATTTTGATGGGTAGGATCTGCTGAATCTGTTACCAGTAATTCTGACAAAGGCATATTACACAGAGTATTGCCAATTTTCTGGACATTATTCGTCGTGTGATATTCTAAAAGACAGACTACAGCGTGTCAGGAGCTATATTTGGTGCCTGCTCAGCTGGGTCCGACAGAAAGAGCTAACCCCAGTCACCGGACCTAATGGTGATTGAGATTATGGTGGTGAAACCATTTAATGCTCTCTGGCCCCGCCTGCGTGTGACGTAGCAACCCCAACTCTCGGATCGAAAAAATGAAGCAGTGTTGCCACATCTTAATTTAATTTCCAATTGCCGAAAGGCGGAAATGCAGCCAGCAGCAGCGAATACCTGTAACAAACATGACTAGATTTTCTAGAAAAAGTACACACTAGTTCTCAGATTACTACATTTATTTTAATTCAAATGTTAACATATATTCCGCATGAATAGTACACGTAAATAGTTGGAATAATATAATGCTTACAAAGCATGAACAAATAAATTGGTAATTTGCAAAATGAATCGACTGATGTAGAAAAAAGATCATTTATAATGGTCTGCCTTGCAGCAGTCAGCATGGTCTTGACATATTCATTTAAAATTTCTTATCTTGAAGTGTAACGTGTTTCGGGCCTAAAATAAAGAGACAGAAAGTTGCCCGCATTGTAAGAAGTAATACAATTAATAACTAAGAGTGTGCATTTTGTAAATCTAATATTTTTTAGTATTTAAATTTATATGATTACAGAAAAATACATAAAAACAGGAAACATATTTTATCAGCAAAGGGTTGAAGAAAATTCAACACAAATAGCAGACAGCAAATGTAACAGAAAAGACGACACAAATCCATCCATACTCCTGCTCAAAATTTCGTTACTTAAATGACACTCTTGGTTGATTACACTGATGATTGGATCACACGGCAAAATGTCACTACAGCCTCATTGGCTGAAATAATTATCGCTAATGTCCTGGTATTGTTTTCTGAAATGTTTTCTTCCATTTATTACGGAACATCAAAGAAACGCAACTTTCCGAACCTCATTATATGGCATTAGCATATGTTGGAATAAAATAGTTTACTGGTAGTACCGAATGGGACACAGGTATTTCTAATGATTTGACCGTGTGATTCTTACATATCAGACAATGGCAACGAACGACACATTGAGTACATCATAAAATTATCTGAACAACATCTGTTTGACCGCATTCCTCATACTAAACATATAAATAATAATAGAAAGACATGATTGTTGCCACAGCTAAACAGGAGGAAATATTGAATGGCTGTATGTCAAATTAAATCCATTTGTACGTGGCAACAATGAATTATTAAATGTGTCACAGGGAATAGTTATATGGATGCAGTAGTGGTAATATAGTCCTCTGTTACCATAAAGCAGATTCACAACAGAATAAGTTGTAAATTATATGTAAAACGTATTAAAACTTAGTAGCCTTACTTTGTACATTTGCTGGTCCAAAGTGACATCAGCACTTACAAATATGGACTATACTACAATTGCCGATACCTATAAACATATAACAGTTTTGTTCAGTGCACAGAACATTGAAAATTATAGGCCTGACTCTGTATGAAATGTGGGATTTTTTTCTATAAACCGAATATCGCTTGCGAAATATTGTCTCTAATGTCCTATGATTTCTTGAAGTCCGTAACAGCAATCAGACAGATCTTATTCTTACTGAATAGGCCACGGAGTTTTCTATACGAAAACAGACTAGAATTGATTTTAATAGGGACTATTACAACGAAATGCATAATCGTATAAAATATGCTATCTAGTGGTAACAGTTCGTATTAATCCGAGGTCTTGAACAAACGAAATTAAGGAAGGTCGTGATGGATGTTTTACACATAAAATCATTTGTTTGGAATTGTTTCATTTCATTTTTCAACCAGCCTTTCGCACCTTCGTTTCTACGCTCTTTGTATACAGACATTCTTATTTACAATAACTTTTCAGCACCTTCATTTCATGTAAGTCTATACTACTTAAAATTTAAGCAGCATGTAGTTAAACCTTAAATGTTCTTATAGCTACACAGGGAAATTGAAATGCAATGGGTTCTGCCAGTCTTCGTTGTCTTTCGTTAGTCATACAGGGCTTTGCAGTGCTGTAACGGCCAAGATATGAGCTTTAAGACACCTCACATGTATCCGATTCAGGATTTGAGGTTCTCACAGCGGTGATTATGAAAAGTTCTGCCTTCTGGGATATAGCGCCATGTAGTCCATTGAAAATCGACTGACGTTTCCGAGGAAACTATAGCCCCCATTTTCATGGTCGAAGAATAAACCAAATAAGAAACCAGCATGAAAGCAGGTGGGGAGCAGGACAGACTGCGTTTTTCCCTCCGAAACGTCTGTTGACTTTCAACTGACTACAAGGCGTTATATCCCAGAAGATAGAAATCTTCAAACCCGAAATATTTTGCAAAGATATTACAACAGAATGAGAACACTTCATTAGTGCCACAATCTTGTGAAACATCGCTGTGTTTGTTCCTTTCATCTCAAGCCTGATTTACATACAGACATTGCTGTGCACGTTTCTCTGTTTCGTCTAGCATTAAATTTATGTCTAATTTATAAAGCTAACACGACTCAACTGACATCTGTTTTTCTTTCCTCGAGTTATGTATTTATACATTTCGTGTAAAGCAGTGTTTATGATATGTCGCTGTTGCTACACTCTTTATAAATTCGCAATACTCTAGAAATTGAAGAGACCGGAAACAGTTTGATACGATTTATTTTCCGCAATATCCGTATTATTTCACTTCCTTTCCTTTGCTTCTCAGATAAATTATTTCATTTCCACGCAGGCACGTGACAGTGAGTCAGCCGACTACATCCACTAATATGACGGGGTCTTTTGTTGTTGAAAACAAAAAAAACGTTTAAAATAACTATTGTTTAGGAATCACAGTTGAAATCACATAGGCTGCACTGAATTGACACACTGCCGAGAGCAATGTGTAGTGAAGTAAATGAGGTGACTACACGTAATCGTGGCTCTAAAATAAGCTTCTAGACGGTACTGCATGGCAAGAGACAAAGCAATGGCGTCTCTGACCAGGCAACGAATATCGCTCTTATGGAGTAAAATTTCTGACTAAGCATATGACTCCTTACTTCAGGAAGGTCAGATTAAAAAGCAGGACGTTATAAAATGCATTACTTTGTGCATCTTTCATTGTTATAAAACTACATAACCTACTTTATAATCCATTATATTCAGATGTCATCTAGCAAACATGTATACGTGACACTGTATACGATATGACATCCACCAACAGACTGCTAGCTATAACTAACACCCCAATAAAAATGAACACAAAACAGATATATAAACAAATTGACTGTTAAATAAGGCAGAAATTTATATTGAAATTAATGTACATACAATAACATCAGAAAGTTTCTTTTGATATGAAACGTGAACTGAATTACGTAAATTGAATTGTAGCGTACGTGACAAAATGAACCCCTCTAATGTCACCTGCATTTCTGCTACCCAGTGTTTCAATAGTGTTTTATATTTCAGTGGTTAGTATTTTGCGACTTAACTTAAAAGTGTTGCTTCATTAAACTGTTAATTTAGCAAGATTATCATGCTTACGTTATAATCGGAGTAGATGAACAATAGGAAACGAAAGGAACACATTCAGATACAATTTCTAACTTGAAATCAGTTCGCGACGTTCTACCCAGCACATAAAAGGTCACCCCAAAAGCTTTGTTGTCCTATGTCTTTACACAGATCACAACAAACCGTTCCGTAAGAATATGAATCTGACGCCTCACTTCTGTTGTTGCTGTTGTCGTGCCTTCAACCCGCGACGCGCTTGGTAACCCCGAAAACCAGCCTGTATTTTAACGGCAGCATCACGCTCAACCTGCCGTCTCTTTCTCACCAGATAGCCCCTCACACTCGCCTGGATCTTCGTTGCTGATCTTTCTTCTACATCGCCTGCTGGAGTTTGATTGGTTGCCTCCACCTCCTCCTTCTGGTTAACAGACTGTGGGCGCGAACCTTGGTTTCGTGGACCATTCTTTTTATCCTCGGTATTTTCTCGTAACTGTTTACGAACTTTATAACCTCTGAATCCAGCCTGAATCTTAGATGCAGCTGTATTGGCCGTTTTAATATCTTGACGCGTTCTGAAACCACGGTACGATGCTTGAATCTTTGTTGCAGCTTCTGCAGCAGTAACTTCTCCATTCCCGTCCATCTTGGCTTCACCGCCTTGGCTCGCCTCCGTCATATCCGTTTCCTGGTTACCAGCTGGTGATGTGACGTCATCGCTTGGCTGCAGAGGCGTACTGGACGCGGTGGCCACGTGATTTTGAGCACCTGATGATTGGGCGAAAACCAAGAGTAAATTAGCATCCACATGCTAGCAAGGCCACCAAGTTTGTATGGGCGTGCATGACGAAGAGTGCTATGATTATAAGGCGTAATCTAATGGCACAGCTTTGCGACCAACTGTAGTCAGACTTGGTGCCAAACTATTACAATTTGTCCCCCTAGATATGTCCCTCAGCGACAATATATGAATTATTATACCGATATTTATCAAACGTTATCAGTTACGGTGAAGTACGTATTCAAAGATCTGTAATTTAACCTGTGCGTCGTTACGAAATGTAACACATTTTTTCATCACGATCAAGACTACTGCATTTTTCTTGGCAGCGATATTAATAACGTTCATGAATTTTGTTATGTGACTTCATATAATCTCTCAGATTTTATGTTTTACGCTGTTTACAATAATTTTACCTTCTCAGATTTGCGTTTTTCCCCCACCTATACAGAATAAAAGCAGTGCAGAAAGCTGTTTAGCATCCGATAAGGTCTCTGCGGGAACAAAGCCTTGACTGGCAAACAAACGGGAACCTTCTTCAAATAACCGCAAGCATTGAGCAGTGTACATTATTTACATTTCCACACAAATTTCAGGGGTGGACTCATAAATAACAGCAAAGATGTACAGTTCCGAACTCCACATTTTACTTTCTGTGTTATTTTTGTCTGGCCAATTGGACTGCACATTATTTTAAAATGTACTTTCTGTTTGCTATTCTTCAGACAAAGAAATGGAACATACGCAAAAGATTATCCGCAACAGAAAGAATGACACAATACAAATAACAATTATCTGGCAAGAAACACGCGACATTAAAAATCTACGTAAGTTAGACTAAGTAGTTTCGTATAAATGCCGATCACAGCGGCCGTGCAGTATAAGGCATGAACTGTTTTCACCCGCTCAAATGCTGGGATCGTGGGTGCGAATCCTACTTAAGGCAATGATGTCTGTATGCGTTTATTCTGTGTTTGTGTTGTTCTATGTGCCTTGCGATGGGCTGATCCTACGTCCAAGGAGTCCCACCGACTGTGTAAAAAATCAAGAAACTTAAAAAGCGGCCTAAGTCCGACATAGGACTGTAGAGCCACAGATAGTTTGGTACATCAGTAACGCTGCAGATATATACTCGGAAGGAATCCGGTTGGACTGTGTCAGATTGTCAATTATCCTAACGTATGTTCTTTTCTGTGGCTTGCCTCAGTCTTTCCAGGAGAATGCTAAGATAATATCTTCACCTGATCACGATTCATTATTTTTTCGTCTGATTCGGCATTACATAAGATATGCTGTTCAGGGAGGTCGTTAATTTACTTAAGAATTAATCAACGCTTTGGCCCTTCAGTTTGCAACAGAAAGTCATTAACTGGGATATTCTATCTATTGTCTTCCGCACCCACTTTCACAAAGGCGGAAGCGACAAAGTAAATCACTTACTAAAATTATTCGTTTTTATTATACACAAGATTTTTAGTGTTGAACTTCCGTCTAACTGTAACGCCGATAAGAAAAACAGTGTATCTGTTCGCTTTCTATAACGTAATTCCTGTGGATCTTAATGCGTTCTGAAGTGAAAGGAAAAATACGAGTCTGTCCGTCCGTAACAACTCAAGAATCGAAGAAAGTCGTCTTCTGGGTTTAGNAAGACGACTTTCTTAATAGTCATCGCCGTGAAAACCTTAAAACTCAAGAATCGTTTTAACGGAATTTCATGACTTAAATATTGGCGAGTTTTACTGCAATTTGTTGATTTGTATTCCGACTTTTGTCAAAATCATATAACAATAACTTATATTTACATGAAAACCTATGTTCCATAGTGCGCCCTTCGCGACAGTAACTCGCTAAATGCGAGAATTTATCGATAAAATATTTTACATGAAAATAACACGCATTTTGTACCCAGAACACTGTACGTTTTAGAGATTTCCAGTAATTACACAGCAACGAGAGAGCGCCCCAAAATTCTAACACTTCACTTATTATGAAAAGCTTGTTAGATTAATTGCTGATTTCTACCAACTTACATAACAATTTTCTAATAATACTTCGATGTCGGTTAAACTATTTTTAGAGAAACTACCTTGGGCAGTGTGTACCTGGAAGATGTTAGTATATTTGGAATAGATCAGATGTATGTCACGTTTATGTCATTTTCATCTGATAGTCCTGTAACAGCTTTCAGTGGAAGCGTATCTTTAGTAACTGGACGCTTCTGCCAGATCTGATTAAAATCTCTTTTATGCCACTGTCGCACACAGGTTCGATACACAGATTAAACGACAGATAGCTGTAAAATACTGCATCTTACACAATCACATACACATCCACACACACCCAGAATCCATATTCAACTCGGACCTGTTGACGTGTAAATTTTCAGTCGTGTAGAAATATCATAGCGAACTATGCACAGCAGATCACTGAAGGTCGCCGTGTAAAAGCTTATCTAGGCCTATCCCTCATGCATTCGTTCTACACAGTGAACTGAGACCCTCCGAAACGTGTTCCTCTCATATTGAAACCAATTTTATGTAGCAATACTCATGAAGTTTAAATCGATAAAGGAATACCTTCTCAAAACTGCATTCGACCTCCTCTTACGCTATGTAAGAAACAAACAGAATCCGCTGCGTGCCATTTGCTGTAACAGAGGCAACTATTGTTCAAGTCACTATTTACTCCACAGTTGTCATAACTGAGATGTGTTTATCAAATTAATTAAAGAGCACCATATAATATTAAACCTTGACAGCAGTTATGTCGTTTACAGTTACTTATGACCTCGTTTTATCTCTTAGTTCTGTTTACTTCAGACTTTTCTTGAATTAGAAACTAATGCTGAAACAGATTTATAAACTCGTCTTAGAACAAAATTGGCCGCTATCAATGTTCAAATACTATTTCAGTAATTTATAGCAGTAATATAAATACAACTGGGATTACTCTGTCATAATGGCCGGCCTCACCAGGTCACGCTTTGCATTTTGTGACACGTTCTTAGTTATTTGTACATTTTATGCGAGAGTGAAGCAGACACTGTTATGTCTAAAATGTTATATATCATTGAACAAGGCAGGAATATGTTCATAAGTATTGAGTAGATAATAATTTTGAGAGAGATGTGGCCTATTTTAAGGTTCTGCCCAGACATTCGCCCTGAGAAACCCGAGGAAAACCAAAAATAAATCAAAATATTTTGTAGTCTGGTGGAGATTCCAACCGAAAAGTTGTATCCTTCAAATGCAAGCCACAGTTACGTTATCACTGCACCGCTCTGCATGGTACAGTTCAGGGCCTGAAATATAATGGACACATTCTTACACGAAAAAAAAAACATTTCCCCCCAATTTTGGAGGCATGGCTTAATGGCATATTTTAAGGTTATTGTTTTCGAAAGAAAAAACTGATGTAGACAGTTGTCTCCACTATTCCTGCATTTTCACGACATATTTTTAGCTAGATTGGGTGGCTTAGAATTACATGCGAGCATGTAAGCAATAATGTTGATTTCGGCTACTATTCAACATCTCCTTTACCATGNATGCGAGCATTCCCACACTCGATGCAATAATGTTGATTTCGGCTACTATTCAACATCTCCTTTACCATGACGCGCAGAAGAAACAAATATTTCACTCTGTACTCTGCGTTTGTATTCGTAAGTGCCGAATGGTTCCCACTTTTACTTACGTAAAAGAGGCAAAGCTAGTCTCCATTATTCCAGCTGAAAGGGAAGAAATGAGTTCAAGCCCTATACGCACAGAAGATTTGCTACAGAGTAGACTGACAGAATCTCTGGAGCCACCAGTCTGTCTTTTTAATAATCTATTCGTCACACAAACAGAATATTCTTGTAAGTCAGGCATTTGTTAAGAAAAAATTCGTGAGCGTTTAATATACAGGTTAACATAACACTGTCTGGAACTGAGTTTGGAATAGCGTCTGTTCTCTGCCATTTTAAAAATCGATTCGATTTCTGCCTGAGGCGAAGGCCATTCAAATATACGTAATACACTTAAGTATTGTCTTCTGTACCAAGGGTAGAATATACGATCATATAAAAAATACATTTAATTTTAAACATAGGATCAAAGCACACATACTTTTAGATTTGACGATGCGATGTTAATATCAGATTCTGTTATTAAAAACACATAAAATAGACTGTTTTTCAAAGGAATGTTAAGAAGAGTGTAGTGTACACTGCTTTTGTCTGTACTTTCTACGTTCTTCCAGTAAACAGACTTCGTGCAGTCAGCAGGAAGGTCTACTATCATATAGTATTTACATGTAAGGCAGAACTGTAATTGTATCTTATGTGATACAATATATTGTATATTGGAGAAGTGGCTTGACAGAAGACGATCTAGTAGAAAATGGTGGTTTGCAGATTGATTGACTAGTTAAATGATTCCAACAAACGTGTCCTAAATAATTTTAAGTCAAAATAAACCAAGTCTGTTTACTGACGAACAGTCGAATTGAATGAACTACAGCAAAGTCAGAAAAGGGGTTCCCGCCCTGGAAATTAAATTCAGAGCATTCAAACTGTAAAAATATAACCGGGATTTGTGCAACAGAGAAAAGATTTTACTAAAAATTCAACAGTTCCCATTCTACGTTCAGTTTCCCGCATTATGTATTGGGTCTACACGATGCCTCCTTTCTAAGTCAATATTGGTAATGTTTAAGGAAGTACAGCAAAGGAACATAGGCCGTGCCATTGCCCAGGAGGTTAGTCACCGGCCTCCCTCCGCGGCTGCCTGTGTTCGATCCCAGGTCCGGTCATGTGGGATTTGTGGTGGACAAAGTGGCAAGGGGGCAGGTTTTCTCCGAGTATTTTGTTTCCTCTGCCAATTCTCATTCCACCGACTACTCCACAATAATCATCATCATCATCATCATCATCTATCATCCGGTGCTG